TCCGCTGTGAACGGACGCAACAGTTAAACATTGATTTGATATAAAATAAAAGAAACAAACGAGAAGTGAAACATTGCAACCTTTACATTTCTGTGCAGCTGAAATCATGTTCAGTGAATGAGCCAAAAGCATCAACAAGCTACAAAACAGCATTTTACAAAAGCAAGACTGCACGGTGTGCTAGTTTTAAAAAAAGACAGATCACTACGGAAGGAAACAGAGTTCACATTCATAAAATCCTGTGTGGTGTGTTTGGTTTGTGGTGAGATGGAGTGGCACTGAAACACTAAATACAGAATGACGATGTGGAGCCATTCTGAGTGATGTTTCTTGCTTCAGAGGCACGATGAATGAGTGTCTACAGGGATATATCATCATGTTATATCTATATGTGGTGACAATTTGTGTCCGCATTGCAAGATAATTGATTTTTATAATATATAATTGAATGGGCTTCAGTAGCAGAAGGTAAGTAATAGTAACTGTAATACAATAAGATAAATAGATAATAATAATAATAATACGTGTTGGTTCACCTCGTTCATCTCACAGACTGTAGCTGCGTCCACACTGGGCTTCAATCTGCGTGCTTGTTTAAACCTACTTGATGCACAAGGCGGGTGGAGTTTGCCACATTCAGACAATTCAGATAAAGTCAAATAAATTTGTGATTAAATTGAGATGTTTTATCAAACCGCTCTGCATTGTTCTTTGTGGTAGAACCCATTCAGCAGGCACCATTACAGGGCAACGATCACCAGCCGCAGCCATGGGTAAAGTATCCCGTTAAAATCATTTAACACGATACTTTTAGATTAGCCCTAATGGCAACGGCACGTAACCATGACCCAATGATCTCTTAAAATGACTTTAAAAATAGATGGTTTCAACCTCTGACTGTAAAAATAATGGACGTAGCTAGCGTGACGTCACCCAATGGTTTGTGGACTCCTGTTTTGATAACTCAAGTTTGGTATTTTGGCCGTCGCCACCGAGGACGGTTGTTCTCAACTCGTCCAGCTACATGGTCCAGATTTCATGTTAGTCGTACCTTCCTCAGTTTTATACATTCAGCGTCATACTTGACCATGACGTCGAGCTAGTTTGCTGTCTCTGTCAAGTGGCTGTCCGTTAGTCACTCACTCAGTAGGAAAACCTCTGTGTTGGAAATTCATTGTAATAAAAAATAAAGTGTGATTTTTACAATCTTGACACATTTGCGCGTCACTTGCCGTCCATTCAGAATGAACCTGCAACCCACTTTTGGACTGTGACCCACCAGTCGAGAACCACTAATGGAGGACACTATCGGCACAGCTTGTTGCTCAAACTGGCCCGCCCTTAATTTTGCTATAACTTTAATAAACCAAAAGAAGGTATAGAGTTCAAAACCGTTGTTTGGGACCAGGCTCTAAACATGTTTATTTCTGCTGTAAAGTTGGGCATTTTAACATGGAGGGTCGGTGGGGATCGACTGGCTCCAGGAGCCGGCCTCAAGTGAACAGTCAGCGAACTGCAGTTTTTGGCTTTATTTGTAGCACCAGAGTTTCCTGCTTGGTTTGAACAGTTTCTCTCTTTGCCTGCGATAAGTTGGGGTGATAATAAAAGAAGGTGATAATTTACAGTATGTCCTGAAATACAAAAGAACAGTAGCCATGTTTCCATCAGCCTGTTTAGATGTGCATCTAGAAGTATCGCATCGGAAAATTATGATGGAAACGCCAAAATTCGAATTAAAATCCCCTGATTCGCACAAACTAAAATACGCTCGCTTTAGCCGGGTTTTGGTTGATTTCGAAAAAATGCTGATTCGCAAAATGGGGGATGGAAACAGTTATGTTCGAATTAAGTCTGACGCAGCGCACCTCTCTCCATGGTGATATCCACACTCCGGGTCGGGAAGGCGGTAATGCATTTGCAAGCTGGTTGCCAACCGCCTGAAAACGTAGAAAAAGAAGAATGCTAGACTTGTTTTGGTTTGTTTGTTTTTCTGCAGAAAACTTGCACGAGTTCGTAGTTTTCACCAAAGTCCGTACATTTAATGGAAGCACACAGGATTTGTATTTCTTTTAATGCGCATTTCCCAATGATTCGAATCACTTTTGGATGGAAACATAGCTAATGTCAACATTCTTCGTCACCGCCTCTTCCAGTTATATTTGTAAATCAGGACATCTTGTTGCGTGTTATCCCACTTAAATGATGCTGGGTCATTTAAGATTTCCTCTTACAAACCAACATCTATTTTGAAGGAACACTCAATGCTTCCTCATACCTAAATGACAGAATAGGTTGTTGAATTCATTTTTTTTTGTATGCCTCCATGGTGAACGAAGAATCCAAAAAAGGCAAACATTCTTCATGACCTGAAGTCACTGGGGACCGCGTTTAACAGCAGCAAAACTTTATCAAAAAATCTGTTTACAAACTCTCACACAACTTGTGCAGTATAATCCAAGTCTCATTTATCAACTCGGTCTCATTCCAAAGTTTTCAAATACCACCGCTTCTTCAGTGACTTCTGGCGTCAGACACTGTGGAAAAAGCCGTCCTCAAGTCAGCATGATGTTGCCCTTATTCTGTAACGGTGCCTGGCAGTGTTCGGGGGAAACACAACCAGACAGCAATGCAAGTTAGGGGACGAAAGTGGATGGGTCCAACAACCACGACCCTGTTCTTCTTTCCTACACCTAACCATGTGCTTTTGTTGCCTAAACCATACCGCGTGCATGTGTTGGCTAAAATGTTACCATGCACATTTGTTGTTGAAACTTGGATTGGGTTTAGGTAAACAATGAACAGGGTTAGGCTTTACAATCACACGGGAAGCAAATACCAGCCTCCTGGGTTAAAGCCGGTGGTTGTTGGTTCAATCCACCGCCCCTCCCACCTGCCCTACTCTGACTTTCGACCCCTTAACTTACATCTTTGTGTTGCTGCATTTCCCCCTGAAGCCGCCAGGTGCTGTTACACAATAAAGGCGACCGGCTGCATATCATGCTGACATGAAAGGACTTTTTTTCATTGGTGTCTGACGTAGCCACTGCCCAAGCTCCAGTATTCGACGAGACTTTGGAGTGAGACCAGGTTGTGCAGGCCTGCGAGGAAGACATGTTATTCATTAATTCAAGGTTATGTACAGAGAAACTAAAATACTAGAGGTCATTCTGAGGGCAAAGTATTCCTTTAAGTTACATACGTAAGTTAACTTGCGTTACAAATCTGATGCAAGTTTCTAAGTTAAAATAACTCAGTGCTGTCTTTTGGTTTCACAAAGGACACCAACAGCAGTTTAAAGACGTTGCAACACGACTGGTTTGTACTCATCACTGTGGTTTTCTCCGGTTGTTGTTGGCTGAATGACCATTTAACTTACTGTTACAGACCTCTGGCTTTAACTTAGACAAACCAGTACAAAACTCCACTTTCCTGATGATTAAACTAAACACACAGCAGATGTGACCGCACTCTGAGCAGGTTCCCGTAAACCACTGTTGAAGCCCGGTGTGGAGGCCCCTCTTAAAATCGGACTCTGAAGGTGCTGTAACATGCTATAACTGTGTAATAATCCGTGTGTAGATATAGTTGGTTGTCAAATATTACATTCAGTATCATTGTGGCTCTAAATCTAAAGTAGTAAATGCTGTTTAGGCCTATATGTGATCTGCTGTAAAGCTCTTTTTGTGGTGCTCAGACTCGTCTCGTTTCGGCGTCTGTATCATCAGAAAGCTCTGCCTCGTCAGCCAATAGCTTACTGGTATTTCTACACGTCTCCCCAGTCTTTTCAGTATGTGGTGTTGTTGCTTACAGCGTGAGTTTGTGTTCATAACTGGACATTTGAGTTGCTCGCAGTGCAGCCGTGGACGATACAGTAATTTGTGTTTGTTGTGAAGAAATTTCGATAAAAAAGCACATTATGAAGATGAGTGTTTTTAAGCTGCATTATTAAAAAGATTTGTTATTGGACAGAAAAGTACGTGAAGTCAGTTTTGTAAACAGATTCTGTTTATAATCAAACGTCTATAACTGATTTTCGGTATCTGATGCTGATCTTTGGAGATGTTGAGCTGTGTTGTAAACACTGGCTCATGGACACATTTATTCCAGCTCTCTTAGATGAGTGGATGACCTTTGCTGTAGAAATTCCATCTAAAGTTTGACCTTTTTTTGTCATTATTCTGATATTCAAGCTCTTAACAGTAAACTTTGGTATGTTTCAACGTGGACCTTTTTTTTTGTAGAGACTAATTAGAAAAAATTTTTTTCCACAAAACAGGCTGCAATGTAATCACTTGGGGAAATTGCGCACTGTCACTTAACACCCATTAATGCCCTTTTTCCCACCAAAATTAGCCCATGTGTGCAGGTTTTGTAAATGCAGGAAACCCCGTACAGGCCATAAACTACTTTCCCACTGATAATAAACCAGAGTCATATACACAGCTCCTTTCTGTTTTATTTTTAATTTCTTCTTGTGTCACATTCAATGTCACGGATGGGCCAGACAACAGATTAAAAATCAATAGAGAGCAGGTGTTGGTGAGTTTTTGTCCAGTGGGTAAGGGGCTTAAAAGTGCCTGTTACTGCTACTGACAAGTTCAGATTGTGTCTGTTAACATTATGGAAAAGATCTTTACAGAGACAGATCAGAAACAGCCCTGAAATCACCACTGCCAAACCCACCAGACTCCATTTAAATAAACAGTAATTTTAGCATGTACAGAACCAGCATATGTTCACATCTAACTGGGTGAATTAAGGGTTTATTTCAACCAAACCACAGTTGGTGATTGTTGGAACAGTGGAAAGAAGAACCAAGACAGCTTTTGTGATTTTATTACTTTCTAAAGACTTCAAATGAAGTGTGTTGTATGATGATTAAATTAATGTTCATTTAAATAGAGTCTGGTGGGTTGGGTGATGGTGCTTTTGGGGCTGTTTCTGGTTAAACAAAAAGAATCTTACTCTGTAACAAAAAGGTCTATCTCTGCAGGGATCGTTTCCATAATGTTGTCAGACACTTAAAATAACAATCTGAGCCTGTCGCTAGCCAAAACAAGTACTTTTATTGGACGTAAATTGACGATGCACAACTGCCCCAAGTGGTTACATTGCTGCCAGTCAAGTTTGGTTTCTCCTCAATACTAGACCAATTTAAAAAATGTTTGTTCCCATTTGTCACTTAGACACAAACACATGGGAAAATAGGGTCCAGGTAAAAAAATACCTAAGTTTATCTTACTTTACCTTTTGACAACAAACTTTAAGTGAGACCTTGGCTTTGTATGCATCATGCAACAACATTTTATCTGCAGTAATAGAATTACAGCTGTTTTGGGCCAATTTTCAACTATATGTTTAAACTCAGATTCTTTAAATGGTTGTGTTATTGTACTCAGGTGCCAGGTGGTGGAGTTCGGCACGTAAAACACTGTGTGATAAAGTAAAATAATCAGTGTTTAATTTAAAACTTTTTCCTCTATGTAGGTACCTATTAGTGTTTTAGCGACTGTCTTTTGCTTTAACAAATGTAAATCATTTAGGTAATATTCTCTTTAAGCAGTGATAAACTGAAGTCAGACGCAGACACACAGGTGGTTTATATCCCTGAATTCATGTGCCAACAAAGCAGCAGAGATTTAGTGTTTCAAATTCTGTTAAATTGTTAACTTCTTTTGAACTGGAAAGTTTGTATGCATAACGTGGTGACATACAACTCAAGAGCACAGTGGTGTGAAGACAAAGTGATGGGATCAGAAGTTCTGGTTTGGAACAGAACTGATCCTCGGAGGATTTACAGCACAACGTGAGAAAAGCAAAAAGTGGTGAAACACGACTGCCAGCAACTAACCAGTGTTTTGTTACCCAAGTCCCTCTTTCTCTCTCTCATTCACAACCTTTTTCACACACTCATCCACACATACTCATCACACATACAAAACAAAGAGACAGGAGACTTTTGGTTCCATTATCACCCTCCAACCGTCACCCTCCAATGGTGCATTATCATGCAAACCATGCAAAAAACGATGAAAATGTATTCATATAAAAAAATAAGTGTTACAAAATGGCATAGCAAGTATATGTATCCATTCAATCGCTTTTTCCGTTTCCTGATATCCTGAACTTTGCAGTGTCTACACTAAAAATCGCATGCGTTACATGCAGTGCGGTTGGCTTTGCAGCGATAAAGCTTTTGGGTGTATATAGTATGTATATTAATGTTCTTTTTTATTTTAGCTAAATTTTTGCGAAGAGTGCGCTGTACAGAGTTTTACTTTACAAACTGTCTGTTTTCCCTTTTTTTCTGGGCAGTCTCAATGCCATGGCTCTCTGTCTGGACGGTTGGTGAGATTGGCGTTGGCCTCTGAAGGTCGATGACCTCGCTCATGACCTTGCAGCATCTAGGCAGATTAGACCCACCTTTCCTCCAAATGGTTTGGTCCAGAGGTGCGGCTTTGACCCAAACTGATTTGGGTTTAGAGGCGTGGGTTGGATTTAAGGTCTTAACTCAGAGTTGTGGATTTCTGTGTGGTCACATGAACACCTCTCAAGGCGGCGTATTCCACACAGCATCACCAAATCCCTCTCCCGTGGAGGAGAGTGGCAGGGGCCCCCCACTGGGTGTAAAGGGGTCTGTGTCCGTGTCTGTCTCCCCCTCTGCCAGGTAGCTCGGTCTGGGTCTCGTCCAGCTGGCGTCCCCGGCTGCCATCCCGGCCCCCATTGAAAATTCCCCCCCTTCCTCCCGCTCCCCAGAGATGCTGAACCCGCTCGGCGAGCGCTCCAGCTCCTCGTGGTTCACCGATAGTAGGGAAAGCGGCGAGTCGCCCCCCCGCCCCCCTGTGGTCCTGCCCGGCCCTGTTGACAAGTCCTGCAGGGAGCTGATGGGCAACACTGTGGGACGCTCGGTGTAGGTGGGAATGGCAGCTGGAGGGTGGCGTTGGTGGAGGTGTGACGCTGGGGGTTGATGGTCTGGAGGGACGTGACTTCCACCAGCCAACCCCTCTCCACCTCCTCTTCCTCTGCCATAATACAGATTCACTTTGCTTACAGGCATCTGGTACGACATGTGCGGGAACGCCTCAGCGTAGTTGAAGAAAACCCGCCGGATCTCACCATTCCCCGTAGGGTCGCAGGCCTCCAGGGTCATGTGGGCGGCGCCGGCAGAGTCTACCTGCAGATGCTCAGTGTGCTGGATGTGCATGTCCACCAGGAAGTCTAGCTTCTTCTCCATGTCCTCCACCTGAGACAGAGACATGTTACACCAGCAGCACAGACTCATGATCAGCTGTTCCTAGTAAAAACATTTGCTGAGTCAGGGTGAGTTAGAACTGCTAATAAACTAACAAGCCTCTTACAGTCATGGGTACTGTGTAAATGTATCTGCTGTCAGTGGTAAGGTCACACTTGGGGTTGGTCAGTTTTGGGTAATCTGGCTTTCTAAAAGGCCAACACCCATTGACCTGTTACTAAATGGAAGAGGCCTTCCCTTTTGGTCCAGTGTGGTTAGAGAAGAGGTAATTAGAGCTGATGAAATTTTAATGTTTTGCCTTTTATTTTATTTTCTGTCAGCTGACTAGCTGTGTTAACTGCCCAACCTCCGGTTTCCACAGGTTTCTTGGCCACTCTGCAATGAACACCACCTTGGAGGGAGCCAACGTTAGCTTGCTAGTGGTGCTCTCAAAACTGAGCTGCTTACTCATTGGGATGAGCTGGGGGGAGACCGGAGGGTGGTCACAATGTTTCCACATTAACACTGTTGGGTTGGGACTGCATTACTGGCAGTAATGGCTACATGAGCACTGCCACTAGCTACCTCCCACCAAACCCAGGTGGTGCACAGTGCAGTTAACTGAGGAGCAGCTAAAGTAACCTATAAATCGACATGTGTAACCAGTCAGAAATATTGTCAATGGTTTTACTGTTGACATCCCTCGTTTGGTCACAACAGAAAGCAACACAACGAGACTTAATGGTACAGAGATGTGCAAACTTATTTCAAAGGATGCTTGAAGCAGGGACTTCCTGGGGATTGTGAGGTGCAACTAATAGGCTACCATACCTTCCTCTATTTTGGACTCTCAGGGTCTCAGAACCTTAAAAGGTCAGGACTGTCAAGTTTGCAATTGGTCAACAGTGCAAATTAGTGTCGAAGCTCATCAAATTCGATGTCTTCATGAAAGTACCTTACAAATTACTGCCTTTGTGATTGAATCCACTGGTCATGGTTCCATGAAAAAGAAAGGAAAAGACTTTCTTGTTTGAACTTCTGCTGATATAATTGCTGGTGCGAACAAGTTCTAAAGGATACACTGTCTTTGGCCGATTTATTTCTGAACTAGCAACATGTGGTACACAATTCTGATCAAGTCCATACTGTATGTCTCCAGTCCTTTGTGGCTCTGTCACAGATATGTCAGGTGCATTAGAACATCTGAAATATTGTAAATGTTGCATTATTCATCCCACAAGGTGCTTTGCCGTTTTAATCCTCACCTGTCTCTCCACCCTCACAAATCTACCCATCATGCTTTGGTCTTCGGCATCTGGCATGGTGGCGGCTTTGGCTATGTAGGACTCATGCCTGGAACACAGGGACACTGAGTAGACGTGGACTGCACAGACATTTGTTAGCAGGAAATTAACAACAGATTCACTACCGCAGAGCAACAGCGCAAGACTACTAGAATATATAATGTACTACATGAAAAGAGAAACAGGATGAAGATGTTACCAAGATAAATTCACAGTTATGTGACATTGTAATGGAAACAAATACTAGTTAGCATTATTTTAGCAATTCTGGTTAATATTGTAATATAATCTGATAGCATTGTCTACTCTATTCATTATCTATTGAACAGAGTGACTGTACTGTACCTGGGTGACTGATTGGGCGGATAGGTAAAGGGTGTTTTCTGAGTTTTCTTTTGTTTAGGGGTGAGGGGGGGTCCAGGGGCAAGAATCATGTCGATCCTTAAAGAAAGAGAAACAGGATGAGCTTGAGGAAGAGGAGACATTTGCTTCACACAAACAGATTCCCTCATAGCGCAGTGTGGTCACTGACCTTGTCTGGAGGTATTTTATTCTACAGAGCATGTCCAGGTGTCCAGCAGAGTACTGCTCGATCACATCTTTGACATCGTAAGGCCTCAGAGTTTCCTTAAACCGCTTCTTGTTCAAGAGGAATTGCATGATCCTGTGAGACAAAGAATTGACATTCAACAGTTTGGACATTAAAGTGACAAAATTTGACCAAACATTGGTGTTCTCTCTGTGGTCAAAATCCATTTGATGTGGCACACCTTTAGCTTCCACCTGTTGTACTTACCATTTCTGTGCATGCTCTATGGTCTATCAGGTATCTGTAGGCATTTTTTAACTTTTTCATAGTTCTGAGAGTCCCCCTTTTTGTTGTGTCCGCCCCATAGGAACTCAGAGCGACCGTAGTTCTTAGAACACCATTTTAAGGGACTTTATTTTACTCCTATTTCAGAGTAGGTACTTTTCCAGTACAACATGAACCTTGAGTGAGGTATGTGTACGGTGATTGTTCAAACACAGCCCACCAAGCACCACCAACCACCATTTTAACAAGCAATAGAACAGGTCATAACATCAACATTATACGTGCGACGGTGGAAACAGAACGTGATTTGGACTTGTCAAAGTGAAAGTGATTTTTCTATATCAACCACCGGGCAGTTTACAGTACGTCACTTCAGCATTCCCATTGGCAGTGAGAATGCAAACAGAGAAAAAGCCCTTGAAAGTATGTAGTTCTCAGCGGGAATTTCCCAGTGGGCCCTGAAGTGATTGGTCCAAAACACCTTATGTGTGAGTTCAACCACCTCAGGGCTTATTTATACTCCCTTTATGTATGAAAGTATTTTTGTTTATTTCAAAGGTTGTAACCATCACTGCCCAAATACTTCTATGTGTCTGTTATGCTGGCACAGACAGATCCACAAGTTGGCACCAGAGGGTACAGTCAAAAGTTTCTGACAGCAACAAACATGGTGACAGTGAAGGAGGTCATAATAATGTACCTTTTAATGGACACGGCATTGTACATGGAGGTGGTCTGTGAGGCCATCAAATACTTGGGATATTTGGACGGAGAATTCTTATCACTATGTGACCATTTGTCCTGATCCACCATTTTACACATCTTTTTCACGCCCTACTGTCGTTTCTCGCTTGAACTATGCTATATTGCTTCAGTGATTTCGGGTGGCACTGCTCCGTCTCGTCTGTATCCATAAGCTTTCAGAAAATGTGTGCAAATACAAGATGAAATGAATGCAGAGTGCTGACAGAAGGCTCCATCTGTGCTTGTATGTATCTAACATTGAGCATAAATGAGCCTTAAGGACACTCATTTTGGCTGCTTGTGTCTGTGATTTCTTTTTTTGGGTCATTACCCAAAGCTCATGAGCACAGTTGAGTGTTGAAACATAGGTTGACTGGATAAGATTGAGCTCTGCCATCAGCCTCACCTCCACCACAAGTGGCCGGCACAATGGCAGTTTTACTGCAGATGCGGCACCAATCTGACAATTTCATGCTCTCTTACCATCACCCATAAACTAGTCTCTATATACAGACTCTACATTCAGTGAATGTAGAGTCTGTAGGCAAACCCTGGAGATCTTGCCTCCAGAAGAAGAGCGGAAGAGCCCTGGTTTCCGGTTGTAGGTTGTTTGTAGTCCGTGTGATATTGACCAATCACGTTTGAGCCGGCTGCAGTTGTTGCCAGGTTAAACTCTCCGTGCTGTGAACTAACGAGGCGGAACATAATTGGCATCACTGCAAACTCTGAATCCATCGCAATGGTTCAGCATGTTTACTTATATTTACTTATAGAGGCTGTATCGCCATCTGCCGGAAGTCAGACGCCGAATACAGCCGATGGGTTCGGAGAATGCCCATAAACAAGACCCGAAGAGGCACAAATTCCTTCACTTGGGGTACAACTTACTTCTAACTCGGAATTAGTAATCCCAGTCTCAGATTTGGAGCTGCTGACCCTCATCCCACCATCCTCATGTTGAGCTGAAAACAACCCCAGTGTGTGCTAAATCTGTCCTTGTTAAACCAGCACCTTCAACGTTTGGCCATTTGTCTGATACAAGTCAACCAGAGTTGGAGATTATGAACTGCAAGTAGGGGTTCACACTGTTTGTACCTGGTACCTGAAACTAGTCTTTGGTGTTGCATTCACCTGACAGCTCTTCCTGACTGTGCCGGGATCAAACATGACACCTTTCAGTTTCTTGTAAGTCATCTCTAGTCTTAATCCACCCTGCCACCCACTGAGCTCTGTCTTTTGTCCCTCAGAACTCCCACTTTGAGCTGACTCGAACATGCCCAAACACTGCACAAGCTTGGTCCTGAAACTAGAACCCGTCAGGTCTCAGCATCCCATTCAGACCCATTCAGCCCCAAAATAATGGTGTGGAAGGAAGCAGCACTTTCACAGGGTTAATCACTCATCTCACAGGCCCTTGTGCTAGATTAAGTTCCTGCATTATGTCATCTGTAAGCATGACTGAGTTTTGCCCACACTCTCTGGATTCCAACGCTCACCCTCCTGCTGTAACATTTGAGGCTACAACTAACATTCATACTTTTTAAGTACCAATCTTATTGTGTATGTCACATTTTAAATCGTCAAGTACTACAAACTGGCATCAAATGCTTGTGCAGATAATTTCTCAGATCTCTCTAAAGTTCCTGACCTGACTGCCCTGATGACCAGTTTAAGTGTGGGGATCATCTCCTCCATGAGGATGTCTGCAGGGAAGCCCCGCTCCTCTAAGGCTGGTTCTGCCAGGGCTCCGGCATCTAACAAAGAAAACAACAGGAAAACGCTGATGTAAGAACTGCACATGAGCAAACCGTAGACAGTTAATATGATAATGACCATGTGGCACATTAGGTAGCTGCATCGTACAGTTCAAACTCCACCTTTTATTTTCATGATCGCAGTTGTTGTTGTCATACCTTCAGAGCTCTGGCGGAGTGTGTAGGCCTTCATGCGGAAGGCGGTGCGGAAGCGTTCCCGGTTACTGAAGCCGGCAGGTTTTGGCTCCTTGGAGGGACTTTCCTCGATGGAGTCGGTGTTACCTGTGAGCCTCTTGCCTGTCCCAACTGATGGCCGTGCATTGGGAAGGCGAACACGCTCGAGTAAACTCAGTTTTTGGCTGAAATGGAGGAAAAGAGAGAAGAGAGACCGTGTGGAGGATGAGGAAGCCATGATACATAGTACTATACCAAGTGGCAACCATAGACTGTATAAAGACAGACAACATAACCGCTCCCTAAAAGGGAGGCCAAAACATATTGATTGCCCCCTGGTGGCTGACCGCGGTACAGGTCATAATCCCTGCCCCCTTTATGTAAGTGGACATGGGCCAAACCAAAAACTCAAAGTATAAGTCAAATACACTTTTCCCAAAGATGGTTTCTGTCATTTTAGGTGGTTCTTATCACATTGACGTAACCATTATTTATTTAATCCTACAAAAAGGGGATTTGATGTAATGATTGACAGCTGTGAGTGCCAATCAGTGTGCTGGTGATCAATGGCACTGCTTGTGATTGAATGGACAGATGTATGTGCTGAAACTCAATACCACGGAGAATGCTACTGGGCAGACTCCGGCTCCAAATTGTGTCACGAGAGCAAGATGGTGGTGGCCATATCCAGGATATTTTGGCTTCATTGTTGTACAGTGGGAGGAAGTAAAGACATGTTGTCCTTCTTCATCTATGGTGACAACCAGCAAGACTGGAGGACAAATTCACAAAGAATGGTTTGCAGCTGCTGATAGCACCATGAGCTGTACATCACTTGCAGCCACTATCTGCCCCGTCTCAAGGTCCAATTCACAAGATACTGCACTAATGATGTTGAAGCGCAAACAAACATGCCCACAAAATTTTGCAGCCGAGTCCAATTTGCCCTTTTTTATCCATATGACAAAGTATAAATGTTGTCTTTGCATCAAGACGACAGCAAGACCGCCAACTACAAGTCAAAATCATTTCCGTCTCAGTGACATTAAAAGTGAAATTCTAATTTAAAATATCTGCACCCAAGCCCACCTGGCTAATGTCACAAGTGCCAAAGCGACTAAACACCTCGGACCTCTCATAAACATTATATCCTTAACAGGATTGATTATTTAAGTATAACTCTACATCGCAATACATTTGGCTAAGTTGCTTTATCACTGAGTATAAACCAGGGATTTTTTAGAGATTTTAGCACTCGTTCTGAGGATGTTGGTTCGTTCTGAGGATGAACCAAGCAACACCAGGAATCCCTCTTCTAGTCTCAGCTACAAGTTCTCCTTGAGCCTGACTTTGCTCTCACAGAGGAGTTGAAGTCTTCATGGTCTGCTGCCTCGACGTAACAATGCTGCTCTCCTGGCAGAAGGAAGCCTCAAAGAGCTGCGAGAGATTGGTCTCCTTTATTGTCCAATGGCTGACAATATTTGGCAGCACAAAGGCAAGAGCTCCCTGGGTAAAATAAGACTCCTGTGTGCCTTGGAAGAGGCAGAGAGGCGGGGTAACCGGAGCCGGCCACAGCCCGAACGGGGCCTCTGAAACGTGGAGCGTTCTCAGCAACTTTGCTCCCACAGCAGACACACAATATAAGCCTCTATGTGGCCTCGGCGCAGAATAGGGACGGCAGATTACGGCGCTGAGAGGCTGCAGAATAGGAAGCTTTAAAGGAAGAGTGAATCTCTTTCTGACTGCTTCTCGAGCGAATAAAGAGCAGAAAATTATCCCGTGATTATCCCGTGGCTCTCTGTAAATGAGGCAACACTACGGGAAAAAATAATGCTCCTTATCTCCCACAGCTCTGCCTTCCCAAGAAGCACACACACAGATTGGTTTACTATACCTGCACAAACCTGCAGTGACATTATTAAAGAATAAATCCACTTTATTGCAACTCAGGTCTTATTTTTGGAGTGTTTTTTTTCCAAGCTGCTATGATACAACTGTGCTCACCAAGTTAAACTGAAAATCTGGTTACATCTGGGAAACATGAGACAATCAGACTATATGAGCCGCTCCAGATGATGTCAGCAGTTTAAGAGGAGACACCCCAGATAAATAGGGTCAAACTTTTAACGAATATACATCTCCATGAAACTCCCCCAGTTGATTACTAACATTAAAGCTCCAGTGTGTAGCATATGGGGAGATATATCAGCAGAAATGAAATACAAAATAATAAGTACGCATTCTTCTTATTATCACATGAAAATAATAATTGTGTTTTCAGCACCTCAGAATGAAGCATTTATATCTACATAGGAGTGGGTTCTCGTCTAAGGAGATCACCATCTTGTACCTCCATGTTTTAAAAGTAGCCCAGAGTGGACAAACCAAACTATGGCTCTAGATAGGGACATTTATGTTTTTCTGTCAGCAACCGTAGTTAGCAGCCCCTCTACGACAAGCAGGGTTGGAAGAATACTGATGTTTAACATGAAACTGCTTTATTCAGTGTTCGTACAGGTGTATCACCTGGTCAATTTGTTTTGGAGAGGAAGAGACCTCTGTGGATAATTTGGCTCCCTGTAAAAACCTCCTGAACGATGAACACTGAAGGAATTCTAAGCGGGAGAAGTTTCAGATGGATGCAATCTGCAATCCTCACCACTAGATGCCACTAAATCTCTGCTGAAACTACATGTTTATATTTTTAAAGATTTCTGTCGTCAGTTGGAACTAATGGGCTTAGAGCTCAGAAGTATTCAGAGACGAGCTAACACATTGTTGTTTTGGTCTTTTAATGGGATCTGTTGTCAGTAATTAAACCATGAACCAGCCTAATCCTTAAGAAGGCTTTGAGCTTTCTGCTCACTACCTATAAACTCTTAAATGACCACAGAGTCAAATCATCAACGCTAAAAAAGTATCAACAAAAACTGAACATCATGAGCTTTACAGAGATCATCACGGATTTCTAAGGTAATCCTAAAAAGACTAAACTGACTATAACTTGATAACGCTGTGCTCACTGCAAAGATCTGAAACATGTTGTCACAATGAAAACAAGAACACACATATTCTTGTACTACAGTCCTTGTGAGGACCCTCAATCCCTTCCCTTAAGGGACTGTTAATTACTTATGAGGGGGGAGGGGTGGTGCAGAAAGTGAGAGGCATTTCAAATAACTTTTGAGAACTGAGGAGGGGCCAATGTGTTTGTTTGGCTTTGGGGAGGGGCATAAAACTTTAAACAGTTGTATTTTGTATTTATTGTATCACTTGCCTTAGAGGGCATGTTTTCTTTAAAAAAATCACCATTTATTACAGCCAGAAACTGTAAAAACAGAAATTATCATTGGATTTTCAAATTTCTAACGTTCCTTGGACACACCTCGTGCAACAAATGCTTCAGTTAGATATAAAAAACATAACCAAATCTGATCTTAAAATCACTTTATTCTATATTTAAAATTTGGCCAGAAATAAACAATTTGCATGAACTAACCAGCACATATGACAAAAGCAACAAACCAAGCCTTTTAAAAACCAACAACTGTTTTTTACTGGAGGGAGGGTCATGCATTTTCCAGCAGTCACTTGGAGAGGCTCAAGGAAAAATATTTGTTGCTTCAGGGAGGGTCAGAATAGAAAAATAAAAATAAAAAACAAAGTCACACTACAGCCACCCCCCTTCTCTGATAAATTAAGAACAGTCCCTAACCTTAACCATCACAACTAATGCCTACCCCCAACCTTTACACTTACATAAACCAAATCGTAACCTGAACCCCAAAACTAAGTCTCAACCCCGAACAGGCCTTTGAAGAAGAGAGGACAGGTCATAATGTCCTCACTTTTCAAAAATGTCCTCACTCTGAATTTTTTTTTTGTTTCTTGGTCCTCACTATGTATCATGTACAAGTACAAACACACACACACACACACACACACAAAATTGACTCTCAGATGGGATATAATTTTCTCTCAGTGCTGTATTGAATAGACCACACAATAATACTGGATAACTCAGATACAAGGTCTAATATCGTTCAGTGCAGTCACACACACACACACACACACACACATGCGCACACACACACACACACACACACACACGCAGTAAGTGGCTTATCAGCCTCTTGCTGGACCTGGCAGCTCTGCTGTAGTTTCTGGCCGTCGTCCACCTCTTTGCTCAGAGCAACAAGATAATGTCAGACTGCTAATTTCCCAGCCGCCGATCCTACAAGGGAGTTAAAACTCTCTCTACCTCACTTTGTTTCTCCCCTTTGTCCACCCTTCAGCATCTCTACAGCTTTGTTCCCCTTTTCTTTTCCCCTCATCTTTCCCTTCACTTTCACTCCCCACTTCTATCACTTCATCTATCATCTATCTTTCTTTATCACATTTCCTCTCAATGTTTCTCTGTTCTCTTTGCATACATATCCAGGTATATACTGTTCAATTACTGTGTTTTTTTAATGTTCCTGGAATGTTGGTCTTTTTAACACATTCTCAGCCCAACTTGTCAAATACTGCTGCTTTGTCAGTGGACCTACACGTCAAAATACATACAATACACATTAGGTACCCTCTTGCGTCAGTTTTAGATGCTTAGGGACGGTGCTACATGCATTGTGTCTTTTCAAAATACACTTTTGTTTTCACAGGAAATGTACAGCCTCTGCTCATTAAATGCACAAGTGACAGAAGTACATGGTTAGATTTAGAAAAAGAACATTATGGTTTGCCTAAAGTAAGTACAGCTGTTACTACTGTTATGTCATGTCCTGTGACATACGTCACTAACATAGCATGCTACACTAGCACACTATGTTGCTACTAAAAGAACTACACTGACTTTTGCTTTTCGCACGGGAAACAAACAGCGGGCTCCAGAGTGAAAGTCCAGAGTTTTTTTGACTCATGCACCTCCCCTCCTGCCCGCCATATTTTCTCACTCTGATGGCGGTGCCACAAACTGCTGCTGGCAACTACCACTGTAAACAACTGTCCCACAAACTGCTGCCATCTGGTGTGTATCGTACCGCTGCAAAGGGTGCTTCTGTGCGTCGTCGTCTGATGCCAAGATCTGCTAACAAAACACTAGTATCTGACGAGTTGGGTTGTTGCCTGCTGCATCAGTAACTGCTACCAACTGGTGCACATCATACCGCCGCAAAGGGTGCCTCTGTGCGTCAGTGTCTGACGCTGAGATCCAGTGACAAAGTGGAGGTATTTGACGAGTTGGGAGTGAGAACAGGCTGTGTAAGGGAGCAATCACACCGAGATGAAACGCTGGAAACGGCGCGTCTGACCAGCGTTCAAGCGTCTTATTAGACGGGCATTTTTCCGGCGTCTTTTTAAACGCACGTTTTTGCAGACGCTTCTTTTTAGACGCACGTAGACGCTGAAAAGTTAAAATATTTTCAACTTTTTGAGCGTCAAATGGCAGTAGCTAGCGTGCATTGAATAAGTGTCTTTGAAGCGTGCGCGTCTTTAGCGTCTCATTTCTGTGATCACCCCCGAAGTCTGTGATGACTCCAACATTTGGGCCAGTAATTTCCCCTCTTTTTTGATATTAGCTTAAAGCACCACCCCTTAAGATTACCTTTTAATGTTATCCTCACAAACTAAAGTTAATTTCCGATCATTGTACTGTGTTTGGGTGAAAGCAGAGGCAGATATCTAAAAACCTGGACGAATAAAACACAAACTATGTGCAAGGACTGGGACAGCTATGATTTTTTATTTGGTCATTTGGGTGAACTGACCCTTTCAGTTCAGCCTCCAAAACAAACACTGCTGCCCGAGTGTCTGCAGTAAGTGAACTGAGCTCCCTCCTCTCTATCAGCCGGTGTATCAGGGCTCCTGTTGTTGTTGCTCTGTAGCTTTCGCAGCAGTAACTTAATCCAGCACGTTGAACATGGCAGCTCATTGGAGGCCAGGAGGTGTCAGACTGGAACGCTCCAGTGTAATGAGGCTATGTTAGAACCAGGAGAGTCCAACAGCCCGACATGGAGGGGAGGGAGAGTGAGACACTGCATGTGGATCAGTTTAGTTGAGCAGAGAGCTGCTTTCGGCACAGGAGCTATGGTTTTTCTACGGTGTGACCGAGTGAAGTTACTGTGCCTACAGCTCATTAGTGGCTTTCTTTGATATTCAGAGGGACTGCCACTACACCTCTCATGTATCTTCTCAGCCTCTCAAATCCAGAGGGTAAGAGAATGTCCTGCTACTCCCAGGTCACAGGTTTGATCCCTATGACATCCAATAGAAATGACTGTGTCCTGTCACTGCGTCAGGCTGTAACTAACCAAAGTATGACAGCAGATGTACAGTGGCACCGAGGTCAGCGTTCACCAGAAGTGACTGTGTATTGATCACTGCAGTAGACTTACGACATCATTGCAGCAGCTTATGAAGACCAGATACGTTGCTTTCACAGATCAACCCTCCTCACTGAGATCTCCATGACATGTTTGGCTGTAGAGCCTCATTAACGCCCCTCCACACCAAGGAGAGAAAAAAGAACCATCACACCCAAAGACCCCATCTCGGGCCCTAATTACTCGATCCTAACTGTCATTCATAATTGAAACATAACTAATGGACTCACTAATAGGTTTCTAAAAAAAACTCAGCCTAAATGTCTTCAAAGCAGCTGATGTGGAAGGCGGCGCTATTAAAGAGCGGGACGAGTGGGAGTTTTATATCACCATTCACATATTTACCACATTAGCGCACAGATTTATGTGACTTGTGAATTAATATGGAAGCTATTTAAAAGCGGACAGGGGGATATTCTAGGAAACCTTCATTAGTCTTTCCAGCATGTTGGGCTAATTAAAGCTCCATGAGAAAGACTCTGGGCACTGCTCTGTGTGATTTACACTATTTCTGCTGGAGATCGAACAACAGTGACCTACCTCGCCATGGCCTCCAAGTGATCCTTCCTTTGGATGGAGAGAGAGAAAGGACAAAAGTTAACAACTGAGAACAAAGTAGAGCTTCAACATCCTTCAACAGAGGACATTTAAACACTTCAGAAAGACCTGAGTTCTGATTGAACTAGAATTATCACCTTGTGGCTGTATGCCTGCGTGCAACAGTCAAGTTACAGTTTACATCCATGTGTGTGAGAACACTCACTCACGTCTTCCCTCAGCAGCACAGATTAGAGTACTGACCAAATGAAACCTCGAGTTATGACGTTGACTAATGGCCAAAAAAGTGTTTATGCATACAATTATGATGTCACACTGAAGTTGACCTTTGACTTTTTGGACACAATCATCAGCACTTCATTATTTTATCCTATTACACATTTAGGAGCATTTTTTGTGATGAGTGTATGAATGACAGTGACCTTTGACTGCCAAATTCTGACCAGTTTATTCTTGAGTCCGAGTGGATGTTTGTGCCAAATTTGGGAAAATTCTGTCGAGGTCCTCTTAAAATATCGCATTCACAGTGAGATGGATGCGAGGTCGCAATGACCTAGACGTTTGCCAACAAAATTCTAAGCAGATATCATGTTCACGAGAATGAGACGAACAAGGTCACAGTGACCCTTGGCCACCAAATTATAATCAGTTCACTGTTATAAGTCCAAGTGGACATTTGTGCCACATTCAAAGATATTCCCTCAAGGTGTTCTTTAAATACTGAATTCTCGAGAACAAGACAAACACAAGGTCACGGTGATCTTGACCTTTGATCCCCAAATTCTTAGCAGTTCAAGCAGATGTTTGTGCCGAAGTTGAGGAAATTTCCTCAAGGCATTCTTGAGATATCTCATTCACGAGAATGATATGGATGAGGTCACAGTGACCTTGACCTTTGACGTAGAACCACCAAAATCAAATCAGTTCATCCTCAAGTCCAACTGGACAATTGTGCCAAATTCCCTCACAGCGTTCTTGAGATATTGTGCTCACAAGATGAACAAAACGTCACAGTGACCTTAATCTTTGACCAAGTTCTTATCAGTTCTTTGCTGAGTCCAAGTGGACGTTTGTGCCACACTCAAAGAAATTCTTGAGAATGAGATGAATGTAAACTCACAGTGACCTCGACCTTGGACTGCCAAAACTGAATCAGTTAATCAGAGTCCAAGTGGACATTTGTGCCAAATTTGACAAAATTCCCTCAAGCTCTTACACTGAAATGTGATGGTTAGGTTATGTCAGTTGTCGATTGTTTAAGCCAATGAGACAACTGTATCAGCAACACAGATTTACAATCACAACAGTCTGAACACAACGTTCAGTCTCTCTAACGCCTCTCAGTGCTAACATGAACATCATGGCATGCCACTTCACCTTGTTGTTTTTACAGTTGGTGTTACTTGCCTGAAACAGGGAAGAGAGATGACAGTTTCATAGAATCTCCACGTGGCAATAAGGTCTTCCCTGATTGGATTGGTGGAATAATATCGCCAAGCAGACTTCAGATAAGAAGACAGAACAGCAAACAGAAACACAATTAAAACAGCTGAATGGGCAATTTGATATTAACTGTATGAATTAAGGTGGATCAGAATAACAATGGCAGTCAAAGCCAGTCATGTGAGAGGTCTGCTGATGATGTCAGGTGGAGTCTCACCTGGATGAGCCCCGCGGCTGGATGTCTGCGCTTCTCAAAGTGCTTCTGTCTGTGCTGCTCCTGGACCTTCAGAGCCAAGCCTGAGCCCAGGATCCCCTGCAGCCACAAAACACAGTCAGTGTAGTCCTGCCTCTGGAGCGGACAGTGCATGAAAACCACCACTGGGTATCCTACACAACTCATTTGAAAAAGGCTTGATAGGCTTTGAATGCTGCGTACACAATTCTGTTCAGTTAAGCTTCTTATTGTCTCTTCTGTCAAGGTTTGAGGTGTCATTTCTCTCTGTAAAAGGCAACAGACACTAGCTGTGATTTTATGGTCACTGTTTGATGCTCCAAGCACATGCTGGTTCTGTACAAACAGGACAGGAAGTAGTCAAGGTGAGATAACAATGTGTTTGCTGCTTTCTTTAAGATTATTTTTCGGCGTTTTGCCTTCATTTGACAGGACAGATCCAGAGTTGTTACCGGTATACTCTGTGCAATTTTGGGCTGTCCCAGACGAAAGATGGCCATCGTGGGAGAAACGTGGCGATATCTTTGGTCGTGGCTCTAAAACGGTGGTCTTACATCGCACTGTGAGACAGGTTCAAGGACGGCTGTTGTCAACTTCTTGCAACCAAAGATAACCTGAGATAAAATTCTGATGATGTCACAAATTTAGGATGACTACGAGAAATGCAGCACGAAATGGCGCAATGGTCACCGCGACACCGGAGCTAAACCCAAACAAATGATCGTGATGATAAAACGAACAAAAAGAAGTCTGTGGAACTCCCAGAAAGAGGAAAGTTTGGTGGAGCTATGGCAGCAGAAGCCTTGTTTATTTGATGTTTCCTCCAGCTGCTATCATGACCGCCAGAAAAAAGACGCTGCATGGAAGGAAATTGCGGAGGAACTGCAACTTCCGGGTGAGCAAGCTACCTATGGTGGCGCAGATGGATGACGTATGCTGATGTGCTGCACGCTGATGACGTTGCATATTGACGTACGTCGTAACCTGCGATTCAGTAGTAAACGGCCATCGTACAGTCTGCACACATCAAACTTGACGTCCTATCAAAGTTTATTAGATCCACGTCTCACAGTGTGTCATGCAATAGTCTTATAAGATTGCTAAAATCGCACAGTGTATAGAGGGCATTAAAGGGGGAGAAACAGAGGGGGGGACAACATGGAGCAAAGGGCCCGTGGCAGCTGTGACAAGGATAAAGCCTTTGTATATGGTGCATCCGCCTCCTGGTTTGTGGGCTGACATAGCAACATAGACATGTGTCACACCAACATTTTTTGTTTGTTTGTTTTTTTATGACAAACTTACCACAGAAGTTCAGTTATTCATTGAAATCAGAACATGTGCTTTTAAAAGATGAAGAAAATGTTAAAGCTTTATTTTCTTAGCTAAAGTTTTGGTTTGCAGTTTGTCAGGTGGTGCTAGCTCCTGCTAACACACACTCCTATTTTCCTGGGGTCCTTTGTTCCTCAGCTCTACAATATATAGCACATGATGGGAACCTGAAAAAGATGTTAAATATGAGGTGGGCTAGGGTTAGAGTTACACTGTAATCAGGACTCTGAGAGTTGTGAAATCGCACTGGCACAGTCTGGATAATAGTTGCTCTTTTTGTGTGGAGAACACTGCTTTAACTTTTTCAGCCTTAAAATGCACAGGGTGCGTCAGCTTTAGAGGCAGTTAGAAACCACCAAACTTGTCAAACACTACCACTTTGTCAGTGGATGCAAAGAGGCACCCTTCATGGTGGTATGATAGGTGGCAGCAGTTTGTAACAGTGCCGGCAACTACAGTACTATAAAGAGTGAGAAAGTCCCTATGGGCGGGCAGGAGTGGAAGTGGATGGGTCTAACAAATTCTGGACTTTTACCCAGGAGTCTGCTGTTTGTTTCCCATTTGAATTTTAGGCCAAAACATGATGTGTTTTTTTACCTAACCACAGACTTTTGTTGCCTAAACCTAAGGAAAACAATGAGGCATTAACCTACGTTGTGAGTTCATTTTGAAAAAGAGTGTTTGCATTTAGCGAGCAGAAACTGTACATTTCCTGTGAAAATGAAATTGTATTTCGAAAAGACACAATACATGTGACAGGTGTACATTGACACGCCATCCCTAAATGTCTGAAACTAATCTAGGTATCTAGCACGCCATGTTTAGACGAACAGATCCACTGACAAAGCGGCGGTATTTAATGAGTTGGGATGAGAACATGTTGCAACCAACTTCTGCCGTCGTCAAACAGGTTCAGACTGGGAAAGAGACACTAACTCAATATCAGTTAGCAAATATCTTCATCAGTCACACTTTCTTAACAAATTAATCTGTGATCTCTGCAATAAACTACCAGCAATGGTGTTTGTTAGATGTATTAACAGTTCAGTGGTGCTGCAGTTAATACACATATACTCTACAGGAGAGTGTACCCACTGCAGGCAAAGCGAAGAAGGACACTCCGATCAGAGCGAAAGTGCCGGCTAACAGTCTCCCAGCCCACGTCTTTGGGGTTTTGTCCCCGTAGCCAATGGTGGTCAGTGTGATCTGCAAAAGAGACAAATAAAGATGACACTTCTCCAAAGTAACTGTCAAATGTCTGAACTGACAAGGACTGTTTGAAGGATTCGGCGGCCACTAGGGCTATTAAGTGCAACAGGAGATATTTCTGACAGCAGTAAAACACAGTAATGGCAGTGTTACAGTCTCAGTGTCCTTCTCTCTGCAGAAATATTTTGTTGAGAAACTCGGCTGTGAGCTCTGCTTCACTCTGTGACCTCTGTGTGGATCCACTGAAGGGCAGTCGACTGTTTCAAAGGGTCACAGCATCATCTAGCTGGTGACTATTGAGTATCCTGCTCAAGGACACTTCAGCAGGGCAGATGCTTGCTGTCATAGAACTTGAACTCTGGCCTCCTGGTTGAAGGACGGTCTCCTTAATGAGGCCATGCTGCTGGAATAAGTGCAGAGGTTTCCTCTGACTGGAGGACATTCATTAGAGCATGAAGCTCTGCCAACACTGGACAATTCCACAAGAAGCTAGCAGCTCACTAACTGATTTTATTTTTGTCTTTCAGAACAGATCTTCCAACAAAATACCAGCTGATTTTGAAGATTCCTAATGACACCTGAATGCAGCACAATATTAGTGGCTAAAATATGCTAATTGTTTTTGGCAGAAATCCCTGATTTGGCTCACAGCCAAAGTTATTGGTAGATCATTTGGCCGAGTGCAATCTGTCGGCCAAGCTGCAGCCAAATCCACACTGAACCCTGAGGACATCTAACTGACAAACAGACGGAAGGAAATACAACCTCATAGCAAAAACCTCTCTTTAACAAGTCACCTAATCTCACTCATCACTTACCAACACACGACACTTCATCATTTCACTTATTCGTCAGTGCAATGTCAGTTGTCTCAGGAATTTGTTAAAATGAGTCAGTATCAAAGCCTCTAAGACTGAACAATGTCTGCTGTTTATGAAATGGTGACTTGAATTTAGTATAAAAATGATAATGTGCAACATTTGTCCAAGATTTCTTTGCCCAAAGACAAGATGCATGTAGTTCCCTAAATTCAGGATGAGACATGAGATATCTGCGCTGTTGGGGACAAAACTAAGCGACATTATTTTATCATTTCATCCCATGTAATGCGTCATAAAAGAAGACAGTAAGACTGTCAGCATAAGCTAGCACTGCTCTGTGTTCAGTGGGACAATTCAGACTATACGAACAATCATAGTTTGGGGCTACATGTGCAGTTATGAACTTTACATCAATAAAGGTGAAGTGTGTAAGATTTAGGGGGATTTGGTGGCACCTAGTGGTGAAAAGCAGGTTGCAACCAGTGAAAACTCCCAATAAGAATTCCTTCAGTGTTCATTGTTCAGGAGGTTTTTACCAGGAGCTGAATTATCCACAGAGGTCTCTTCCTCTCCAAAACAAACAGACCAGCTGATTTAAAACAGTAAAATCACTGAATAAAGCTTCATTTTACAAATCTGTGTTTCTCTGACAGTGTTTGGCATCTTGAAGACAGGCCGCTAGCCCACCACACGCTACTGTGTGCTCACACTTCTTCTGATCCAGATGTTCACGAGGTTTTTACTGTGAGCTGAATGATCCACAGAGGTCTCCTCCTCTCCAAAACAACGAGACAAACCAATTAAAACCAGTAAAAACACTGTCACGTTACAAATCAGGGTATCTCCAACACAGTTTGGCATGACGGTGCAAGTGGCTCGTCTACCATCTGCTAATGATCTTTTTTGATCTTATAACTTCTGATCCAGGAGGTTTTTACCAAGAACCAAATTATCCACAGCGGTCTCCTCCTCTCCAAATGAAACGGACAGTAACTTTAACCGATAAAATGTCTGTACATACATCTGTAGTGCTCGTAGACGAGGACTTGCTTCACATGTAGATATAAACAGCTCATTCTAAGGTGCCAAAAACTTGACGATTCTTATTTTCAGTTGATTTGACACTTAAGGAAACAGACTTATTATATTATAATCTGTTTCTGCTAATATATATATCCCCCTGAATCCTGCACACTGGAGCTTTAAAATTTTAGATTACAATAATGTTGAAGACTTTCCTGTATCAGACTTTATCTTTTATACAAGTTATGGTTGGCATTAGGGCGGCACAGTGCACAACATATATCTGGGCATTAGATTATCAGCCGATAATGGGAATTTTATATTATTTATTATTCCGATAATAAAATTATAGCCGATAAATAGTTGATAATACAAAGCCAAATGGAAAATGGTAATATCCACACTGCCAGTGAGCACAGAGAAGAGGAAGGCGAGCAAGTGCTGCTAGAGAGCCAAACATGTTGTTGCTAGTGTGGACGTCTTTGAAAGGTTCAGATGGAGACAACATGATCGTGCCAGGATGTGATCCTTTTCTTTTCCTGCGGGATGTTGCTGGTTAGGACTTTAAGTTAAATTGACAGATAAAGCCGAATGGTTTATTTTTAGAATAATATATTTTTGCCCTTAAAAATTGGATTAAAAGGTAAAACTGTGAAGAGACGTAATGTAATGTACGTACCAGCCCCCACCACAGTGCGTCGGCGTAGGTGTCGAAGTCCTGCGGTTTGGGCTGAGCAGTGGGGTTTTCATGGTTGGACACGTCCATGGAGACGTCGTCCTTCTCCACCAGGTAGACCAGGAAAGACGCCAGGATCAGAGACAGGAAGCCGATGTACCAGGCTGTGATCAGCTCCTACAGAGACACATGTATGATGATCACACATCAACTGAAACAGATTTATTCGTATGACTTATCTTCACACACGTTTTTTTAGTCTTTGTTGGGAACTTTATAGGGACAGATTTCTCTTCCTCTTTCTCTGCTGACATTAAACACTCTTCTCTAGTTCACCATTTAAAAATCCAGGGTTCAGTTCACATTTTCCAGGCCTGGAAAAGTCATGGAATTTGTTAAAATCATTGAAAATTTTGGAAAAGTCATGATATTTTGTTGTGTGTAATTAAATTGTTAGTAATCCTGGGTGGATAACCTTTAAAGGTTAGTCAGACAACACAACATTAGAAGTGTCTGAGGCGAACACACAGTCACAGTACAAACCTATAACACTCTGACAGAAACCAATTTATCCTCTGGTGGAAAAACTTTTGACCAGATGTCACCTGTATTCATGTAAAGGCTGTGAGACTCTCTTAAAGGAGCTGTACGTGACAATCAGACAGTATCTATGAGTCAGAGTCTGGGGTGGTCGCGGGTCCAGGTGACCTGAGGGAAGAAACTCTTCTCCCTCTCTGTTTGGTTTTTCATTCCTACCTTACTGTGAGCGTAGATGGCGGACCCCAGCAGCTTCCAGGTTCCTCCTCTCCGGTCCATGCGCAGCATCCGCAGGATCTGCAGGAAGCGCAGGCTGCGCAGGGACGTGGCCAACACATTACCCTGGTTACGCACCGCCACCACCGGCACCGAGGCAATCAGCACAAAGATGTCTGAGACGGAGGACACACAGCACAGAAAGATCCAGGAAAGATTCTCTGTGTGAGGCTTTTATTAAATCTTTAATGAGTCTGACCCGACACAGTCATTAAGTCTTCTTTGTAGAAAGATGAATGCGTTTTGGAGAGCTGTGGAAAAAGCTCCTAATAAGAGCTGAGCGAACATAAGAGACGTTGTTGAAATGCTGTTAATAACAAATCAGGAGCAGGTTAGTGCGTCACTGTGTTGTAACTGCACTCAGTTTTTAACAGTTAACAGAATCAAATACACAGGCGTTGAGTATTGTTCATTCATAATGTCACTTTTAAATCATTTTTTTATAAATCCACCTGTTTACCTAGAATACAGAGAGGTTTGCGAGCGAACTTCAGCCTCCCCCTCCATCCTTTGTAGCGACAGCAGCATCCTGCAGCCCAGACCCTCAGTGCAAACTCTGCTCCGAAGATGAAGATGGCGAAGGTTTCCTGTATGGGAAAATCAAACAGGAGCACAGTGGAAGGAACAGGTCAGAGTCAGGCTACATCAGAACCTCAGAGTAGACAGTCTTTGCTTTCACTGAATCTGACTTATTTTTGTTCTTATTATTCGACCACAGTTTGCTCAGTTTTAATGTTCGTATCATCCACATTCATGGATTAATAACTGAGCAGGCCCACTGGGCATGGACTCAGGGGCCCAAGGGGTCTGGGGGGCCCCCTGTTCTTTATCTGTAAAATCTCATTCATATTAACAAGTACCAACCACAAAAAGACACCAGTGACCTCAAACAGATGCAAAGGAACCCCAAAGAGACACAGATAACTATGAAATCAGGCAAAACAACCAAAAAGATAGGTGCACAAAAAACAAAACCCCCATAAGGAGACACAAAACAACAAAAATAGACACAAAAAGAATAGACAGAACAACCACAAGAAGACAATAGAAACTACAAAGCAACAAAAAATTACTTAGATAAAACACAAAATTACCTCAGAGACACAAATGACTTCAAAAAGACACAAAACAACCAAAGGGGGACACAAAGGACTACACACAGACATAAAACAACAAAAAAGACACAATATGACCTCAGAGAAACATAAAACAACCACAAGAGGACAATAAAAACTACAAAGCGACACAAAATTACCTCAAAAAGACACAAAAAAGGACAAAAAACAACCACAAGTAGACACAAAGTGACTACAAACAGATACAAAATGACCTCAGAGAGAAATAAAAACCACAAGAAGACACAAGAAACTATAAGGAGACACAAAATTACTCAAATAAAACACAAAATGACCTCAATGAGACTCAAAAGACTTCAAAAAGACACAGAACAACCACAGGGAGACACAGAATGACTACACAGAGACATAAAACAACAAAAAAGACACAATATGACCTCAGAGAAACATAAAACAACCACAAGAGGACAATAAAAACTACAAAGTGAGACAAAATTACTTCAAAAAGACACAAAAAAGGACAAAAAACAACCATAAGTAGACACAAAATGACCTCAGAGAGACTCAAAAGACTTCAAAAAGACACAGAAGAACAATAAAGAGATACAAAACCGCAAAAGATGCACAGCGACTGTAAAGAGACACAAAACCACCACAGAGTGTGTCTTGTGTCTCGCTCCTGTGCACGAGTGTAAAAAGAGATGATGGATTGAAAAACTGTGTCCTGACCATGAGCAAAACTCAGGGGTTACAGATTTCTCCCAACATCTTAAATATTTCCATTTGATGAAATGATGCAGCCACAAAAAAAGATTTAATCTTTGATTTGATTATTTCACTCAGTGTACACATCATTTATCTGTAATGAAGAGCAGGAGCTAACTGATACACAGTTTGATGATTCTGTCAGACTGCATGACATTACATGATGTCTACAACCTTAAAGCTACTTAAGGGGAAATACCTGAGTGCTTAAATTAAATTAACGTTCTTCACCAGGCAACAAAGAGCAGACATTGCTCAGAACTAAACTTTAGAAATCCCAGTCCTCTCACCAGTATGACCAGCCAGTGTGCAGACACCTTCTCGTGCTCCTTGAATGTTGTCAGTATGGCCAGAATCAAACAGCCCAGAACGATCAGAAACCTGCAGAGACACAAAACAGCACACAGCTCAGTGCATACAGCCGTGAGATTCATACAGAAACACAACAGGTGCATGCTCACTTTGTCTTCTCGTGCTCCACCATGAAGCAGTGTCTTTGAGTCACCACTAGAGGGAGCTACATGTCTACTGTTTCGATGAGACATCAGCTGCAGCACAATAATAGGAACACTCGTGTGCCGTACAGCTTCTCATCTCTTCTGGGAAAATCTATTTATGAAAGAGTGATTGCATTATCTCTTTCTGCTCGCAACAGTTCAGCTAAAATCAGGTTTTTTTTTACCCAGCTGAATAAATCACACGTTCATAAACGGCCCCTCTGTGTCGACAAAGTGATTTTGAAACTCACAGGAAAGTTCTTAGCTTCATTTATCAAGAGTTTAAAATAGTATTTATTCACAGCTGAGGGACTCAAACAGTTATTTTTATAATCTGTGTTAGACTCCCTGGAGGACAGAGTGTCAGATCATTACAATAAAGTCATAAAATCCATTTATCAGATCTTAACAGTTCTTCAGGCCTGCAGTGGCTGTGATGGTTTCACCAGTTAATGTGTAACACAACAGGTTTGTCACAGGATCCAGATGATTTTGGCCGAACATATTGTTAAACCAAGTATGTGAACAGATGTTGGCACACACTGTTGTTTTATCAGTATGGTATATTAGATTGTGGTCTTTAAAAACAGACATTAAGTACAAATTTTAGTATGAAAACTCACAGCGTACACAGAGCTGACAAGTTGCTCAATCTTTGTTTGTAAAATCGCCACCTAAAGATTGAGATAATGAGCTTCAAAGTTTTGCATCCCAAATATCATAAATGACATAAACCTTTTTGTTTTCTAAATTCAAAGTCCAAAATAAATGCATATAACTTAAAAAAAAACACTTCACACTATGTTAATTTTCTTCACGGAAAAAGAATGAATAACTCAATTTTGACAAAAATGTCAGATAGAACCTTTTAAATCTACAGTGATTACATGTTGAAGTTTGTATCCTTGTTTCATCTCTGATTTTAAGATGGTAAACAATTTACCTAATGCAGGCATGTCCAAAGTCTGGCCCGGGGGCAAATTGTGGCCGCACACCAATTTTAATTGGCCCTCGCTTGACTTTCAAAATATACCATATGCAGTCCTTTACACAATAATGGTTAATCGAGCAAGATCACTTTGCATGTTTACCTTTCACTCACAATGACAGGACTATCATACATTTTGTAGACAGGCATCAAGTAGTAATAGTTCATTAAAAGATAAAAATGGTTGCATTTATCTCACTTTAAAAAAACAAAAAACCCTTTGATGTGAGAATCAGTTGGCCCCCAGGTGTTTTCACGTTGTTTTATCTGGCCCCCATTCAAAAAAGTCTGGAGACCCCTGACCTAAAGGATGCACTGGAGCTGCACTTGATTTTATATTCCCACAATAACACCAGCCACTTTGCTAGATAGCGCTGATATTATCATAAATTTCTTTTACTTCAACTGTACACAAATGTTTTATATCTTCACTTTCTTTTTCTAATTCAGTGGTGGTCAACCAGGGGCCCGTGGACCCCCTGCGGTCCTTGAGAATTTTCCAGAGGGTCCCCAGAACAATGAGCAATAGTTGTTTTCACTGTTTAATTCACTATAGAAGTGAGCCCAGTGTGAGTGAGAGTGACTATTCTGATCGTAGGTTTTACTTCCTCCACAGTCAGTGCGTTTACATGACATTAGAGAAAATCTATTTATTGTGTTAGTCTGACTAAAACCGGACTTTTAAGATACATGTAAACATGTTAGTGTGACTGAAATCGCACTGACTTGAGTTTCCAGATAATGTGATTGTGAGTTGAATTGCTCCTGCATGTATACAGTCAATCAGACCCAAACTGGCCGATGCGCTCTGAGCATGCTCCACAGTTTCCGCCCCGGGCTTTGATCTGCAAGTCAAATTGCATTAAATGCGAAACAGAAGAAGAAGCCGGTAACAACATGGAGAAATCTACATCCAGAGCCGTGACTTTTTGGACAGACGAGGAGACACAGTTCACGCTGTGTCAGCTGAAAGAGTTAAATATTCTAAAATACATGGATGGGAGGAAAAAACACTGAATGTTGATTGTTTGGTCTGTGACCTAATAGGTCAAACGGAAAAAGGTCCAATACTAACAAGCTGAAAGGGGGCATATCTCCACCTATCGTAGAGGAGTCGCACATACTTCAGTCAATAGATGGATTCCCCTCCGGTGATTGTATACTGGGACAAGGACAGTAGTCCAGTTAAATGGCCTAGTCGAGCTATAACTGTAGCTTGTACACAGAAACAACAGATTTTTATTCCCTCATCCTAAACAAACTGTATGTCAGCGGACTATTCTGCCAATTCAGAAAAATAACATGTTAAACAACCTTCTACTGGAATTACAGTCAGGTGCAAACACATACGCATAGATACACACTGAAGCATATTATTTGCTGAACAATAATCATCATGCAACTATTGGCTGTATAATGTAAATATAAGTTAACCGAACATCATGTCCTGCACTGTGATGTCAGCTGGTATCACATTTGTTCATAGCTATCAACACACATCACCACATCACTGTGTGTACACGTCTGAGTAAGAGTGTATGATTGGTTATTTCCACAACATTAATCTTCTTCTGTGCTCCACCAACCCAAATGTTCAGTTTCACACAGTTTAATCCTCAATTCCAAAAAGATGAATGAGCTACTTACGCTCCCTTTCCTTACCCTGACATCTATATTTAGCCCTTTTAGAGCTGAAATTAATTGGATACACACATACAAACGGCTATTTTAATTTCCCTGTACACTGGAGCACACCCTGGCTATATTCCAGATAGTCTGGAGTTAACCACCCTGCTATGATATATGACGTGGAACCACACTAAATAAACTCAACCAGCTGCACGGCAACACCGCCAATTAACATTTATCCAGCGCTGCGTGTCCAATATTCTCTCCACCATCACCTCCGTGCATAAAGGTTGTTTTGTTCTTTTTCAGCTGGGTCGACAGCGGCACGCTCCTCTGGCTCACGTCTGGTGCAGCTGTTAGAGTCGACTCATCCAGCAGAACAGACCGGTGCACTTTGGGAAATAGAAGTTTATGGTGGGGAGAGGTAAACTGATTTTCAGCCACAACAGTGAGCACAGGAACTTTACAGTACCTGTATATTTCAGTGTGAACCTGCAGGGCAAGAAATGCCTGACTGAAAGAGTCAACTTTCAATATAGTGTTGAATCCTACCAGAGTAATCCGTGGCTTTTTCACATAAGCATGTTGTCTGTGATTTACAGTTTGCTGCCAAACAACAGCCAGCCAACTAAAGTCTACTCCATGAAAACTTTTACATGTTGCACCATAATTTATCCCTTTCCTGGCACACAGAGATCTGATGCCCCTCACATGGCAGAAATGCTTTCAAAAGAAACGTCTGGTGTGTCACAGTGACTTCAAAATGATTGTCTGACTTTAAACTACAACAAGACAGTCTCAACGTGCCTTTCAATAACAAGAAAATGGAATGAGAACTTCAGAATAAAGACATAAAGATTGACAAGAAAGAGACCGACACGAGAAAAGTGCACAACTCAAAACTAATCTCCATAGCTTTCATTAAATAAGACAATGTATACCTCTAAAGGCAGCACAGCAGTTCATACATACCATGATATTTTCTCATTTATGATACTGTATAACAGTGTGGGGCCAAACAACAGTTACACCCATTAGGTCATTATATAAACAGGTATTGAAAGTAATGGATTGGAAACCTGCTGGATGGCACCACTGCCTAATGCCCTCTATACACTGTGCGATTTTAGCAATCTTATAAGACTATTGCATGACACACTGTGAGACATGGATCTAATAAACTTTGGTACGAAGTTTGATGTGTGCAGACTGTATGATGCAGCGTTGCCAGGTGTACGATAATTATCGTATTTGTACGATAATTTGGCCCTCTGTACGATGTACGATCAATAATCCCAAAAAAGGCCAAGTATGCCGGAGGTTTTTTTTTGTGAGCCCTGAAGGCATCTGTTCCCATGTGACATGTTTCCAGCCAATCGCACTTTGCTTAGCGTGAGATACGGGTGACGTTTGTCTCTGAACAATGAGCACGATTGGCTGAATGGTCAGCTGTACCCGCCCCACGAGGCGCTAGGACCCGTCAGGAAGTCGAGTGAGAATGAGATTCAAAACAGAAGAAGAAGAAGAAGAGGAAAAACAGAAGCAAGGAAAATGGGAAAAAAAAGTAAACACTAGAGTGACTATATTAAAGCAATATCACATGAGAGTTCGTGATGTTGTAATGTATATCGTCACGGCTCCGAAGACAATTACAGCCATGACAGTTCAACAACAGCTTAAACAGCAATGCTGAGTAAAGAAATGTTAACAAAAGGTGATTAAATAAATTAAGTATGTTATGTAGCTCCGCGGAAACAAACAGTTCTCCCAGTCTGTTGCCAGGCAACACAGCAGCACACACGCCAGGAACTCACAAGCTACTTTGTATTTACATTGATCTGCAGCTGTGTAACTTTGTCCAGTTCGGCTGATGAAACGTTGGCACGGCTGGATTCAAACACACCTGGAGGTCTGTACTGAAGAGTCCTGGCTTTCCTTTTCCTCGTCCTCTCCTGACGACCACTCACAATTTAATTCAAATGTAATTTTGGGGAAAATATCATTCTTCTTGGAGTAATGCTAGTGTCAGTTTGTGTCAATGTAGCGAGTGTGACAGCTGGTTAATTAACGGTTGTATTTATATTAATAACACCTGTGAGTGGAGTGATTTTAGTGTTACAAGTCCCAGTGATGTTATACTCTATATCAGCACTCACAGAATGCTTCTCGTCCAATCAGTGTTGCCAGATCTCACGAGACAAATAAGCAACCAGACCTGTGAAAACAAGCCCAAAACAAGCAACTTTTTCTACGGAGCCCCCCTAGGT